ACTGTAACCCCCATTCCCTGTCCTCCTGCACCGCTGGGGGGGGGGGAAAGGGAAAACATGGAAGGAAGGAGAGGTGGGAGGAAGGTGTTTTTAAGATTATTTCTCACTCTTTGGCTCTCATCCTGTTAGTAATAAATTTAAGTAATATCCCCACTCTGAGACTGTTTTGCCCCTGAAGGTAATCAGTAACTGACCTCTCTCAGCTGTTAACTCATGGATCCTTAGCTGCTTTTTTCTCTCCCCTCTATTGCAGAGGGAGAATGACAGAGTGGCTTTAGTGGGTACCTGGTATCCGGCCAGGGTCAACCCACTATACATATTTACAAAAACAAAGTTGTATGTGTCTCTATATTTTTTAAGGTGAATAAGCATGTTTCATATATGTTTACAGTATGCATATATTTTAAAGGAATGTACTGCTGATACTGCAGAACGAATATCTAATTATATATGACGACATAATTATCGTTAGTTCCCTTTTTGATGCATGATGGATAACAGGAAAATCCAATCCTAACCTGGGAATATTTAAATTATTTTCAATTTTATACAAAGACTATTTTGGAATTTTAATATTGTATTTTATAAGATATTAAAGGTCTAAGACTGCTCTCACCTCTACAGGGGGACAAAAAATCAAAACAGAGAGAAAGACTGGGACTTTTTAACATGTGGATTTGATAAATTTATACCTTAATTGCTGCTATCATAGTAGTCAAGAAGCAGTTATTGTTGATTACCTGAAAATTACTTGTGAAATTTCCATTAGTATCATAGTTTAAAAGCTTTTATGAAAGAGTTTAACTTCCTTTGTGAACATGGTGAATATTTTATATTTTGTTATAGAAAACAGCATATATATTTTCAGCAAGAAAGCGTCCTTCCCATAACACCTCAAATAAGATATTAAATTTAAAATGTAAGCTTGACATTCAGGCTTCATTTGCTGTTGGTGTCAATCTAAAAAAATTATAAATTGATGCAGACAGAAAATTCTAATCTGATGCCCTAAGGTCAGATCCAATAAAACACTTAAGTATCTAAATTTGGTGTTAAAGCAACTAATTTTTTGGTGGTTGTCTCCCAGAAGGGAATCTTGGGCTGAAGTGAGCTGGGTCTTATACTCCTGTAGAGTGTATACAGTAGGCATGGCTAAGCAGATACCAGTTAGGAAGCGCTATGAGCAGCCACTGCCTCCAATATCACTTAACATCACACAAAATAATCGTATACAGCTATGTGGAGCTAGTAAATAAACTCTGTCAATAGGACTGAGCTATAAATTACACCTTGCAGACCCAATATGATCTGAGTTCAGGTTGTAAGGGCAAGGGGATAATGTTAAAAAATACTTCCATCTTTTACAAAAAGCACAGTGATTAAGGATACTGCCCAGGAATGTGTCACAAGTTCAATTCTCTATTTTGTCCACAGGAAATCAGGTTCCACATCTCCAAAGAGGGTGCGTTTGACTTTTAAGCCTTTGATTATTTTGAACTTCTTTTGAAACACTTCAGATCAATGAGCAAAAACAGGATCAAGATTCAACAGTCTAGTCTTTAGGTTCTCCACTAGTTTTTTCCTATGCTATTTCCTTATTTAACAGACAACATTACTGAAGAGTTAAACAGGTATTCAGCTCCATAAAAACCACCAAAAGTGCGCTTCTCACAACCTCAGAGTGGGAGATCTGCAGGATGTCATATATAAGTTGAGCAGGATAAGTGATAAAATACACCTCACCAAAATTGAGGCCCTATTTAGAGCAAACTCTTTGCATCACAGAAACTTAACTTCACTTGAAAAGACTCAGAGCCTTATTTTAACATAGAAAACTGAATTAATCTTTTCTATTATGACTCCTATACTTTACAGAAGTCCTTCTTGTAGAATCTGACCTAATAAAACCAAATGGGCATCATCAAACAATCCATAATTACAGATTACAAAATTAGATACTTGGTTTTGATGATGGTTGTCAAGCACTTGAGCTAACATCGTGTACTTGAACTCAGCTCATTCTTCCCAGGATCATTTGCAGTTCTACAGCCTGCTTTCAGTAAAATTGGAAAAACTGCTATCCACTAATAAGCAAAAACCCTCTGAAAATTGAGGGTAATTGGCCTCCTGTCATACAGATGATGACATCTTGAGTTATGTTTGAACTATGGGGCAGAACTGCCTTGCAGTATTTCCTGCTGTCCTCCCTAGTCCAGGATAGGAAACTGGCTGGACCACAACATAACCTTAGCAAACCTAAGTTTTCTTCTCATGGAACAGAGGGTAGAGCTTCAGATGTGTCCACTGGGTCTTGACCCAAAATGAAGCTAGGATGCAGCCAAGCTGTGCATCTGGAATAAGTGGCTGGAAAATGTCCCCAACACCCGTTTTACGCATGGTCTTTGAGAGCAAAAACAAATATTGACCCAGAGGCTGATGTAAACTTTCATGTTCTAATACACAGACCCATAGAACCTAATTTGATTCTTGGTGTGATAATAACAACCTGAATTCAACAGATGGTGTGGTCATTGAGAGCTGCACATACCAAAACCTGAGAACAGATTTCGAAGACAGTCTAAAGACAAAAAAAAATAAAACCAAACAAAACTGCACAAGACTTTTACTGGTAACTTAAAACAATCCAGTAAAATAAACTAATTTTTGTCAATAATAATAATCCTGCCTGAATTTTGAATAGAAATACACATGATCTTTGAAAAACTGAATACTCCCAAACTGTCCAAACTGTTTCTAAATGTATTATACTAGTTTCATGGACCGGGTAGCTTAGCTCCTTTGTACTACGTTACTAACAGGTAAATGGCATTTTCTCTCCTGTATTCAGCTCATAGATCAGGTCAAACAAATTATTCACCGCTCTGACATTCAAAATTTGGTATGTTGATCAGTTGCCTCTGCTATAACTTTGTTCCCCCTTTAAATTTTCTGTTGACTGTAAATAAATTTTCCCTGATCTCAGATGACTTCAGAGATTTTTCATCTTTTCACTTTTTTAATGGAAGAGGAGACCAGAAGAGAAAACACAGGGCCTTCTCTACTAGACAGAATTTCCCAGGTTCTCTCAGGTTCAATTAAAAGCCATTTTAGTTGCAGCTAATAGATTTCTGCCAACAAAAGTGGCTTAGAAGAACACACATTAATTTTTAAATGCTTCATGATACCTATTTAGAACTTCTGATTTCTTCTCTTTCTTTCTTTTTCTTTTGAATCAGCTGATGAAGGTGATGGGGTTTTAGCAATAAGAGTACCACCACCTACGCGTGTGTCTGCATTTTTAGATATGGTGGCATTGTGACTGATTTGCAGAGGTAAAGCAACAGTTTGGGAATCTGATTGCAAGCTCACAGTGACAAAAGTAGATAATTACTATCTCCACAAAACTTGTTTTAATACAGATTATATTAGTATTAAAGTTACATGATTGGTGTGAGAAACATGATAAATGTAGTCATGACAGAAAACAATTTTTAATTTAGTAACTCCTATCAATCTGGATAGCCCATGAATATTTACCATTAATTCAGTAGGCTGGAACAGAGTGGAGGAAAAGAACAAAAAAACCAGAGGTTTGACCTAAACAAGGACTGAGGAAAAAAGTGAATTCTCAGCAGTTTTGCTGAGAACAGATCTTGCAAGAACGTGAACTGGCAAAAGATTAGAAAATACATTTGGGATACCATTATAAAAAAAACCTATAAAAAACCTGAATGACATACAAAAATAGTAGCAATTCTTAATATGTACTTCTCTTTGCAGCATTTACCAGTCAGATTACACTTAAACAAGTAACTTCAAAGGCTGAAATAAAATCAGTTATGGAAATTCAAAGCAAACCTATTTGATCACATCCCCCCTCACAGCAGGGATACAATTTGCAGAGGCTGAGTGAGGGCATAGTATAAGCTAAAACAGGTTGTGTGTGCAATGAACCAAACTAAATGGTTTATATGAAAGAAATGTTGTTTCCATTAATTTTTCTGGTAATCCTATTAAAAACACCACCTGTCCAGAATAGAATTGTCCAGATTTTAATTCTTTTTCATATCTCAGTGTTCAAACAAGAGACAGAGAAGGTATCTTCTTACAGCAATTAAAATATGTAACAAAATGTATTATTTTGAAGTCTTCATAACTGCAGCAGTTTCTCCAGCTCTGTTTCAATGTCTGGCTATTATACCTTTTACTTTTTCTCTCATTGTGCTTAAAGAACTGATTTTTCTGATAAGCCAAAATAGTGTTTTTTCAAAACCTACATTGTATTTTCAGCTTCTCTTTAAACAAAATGTTTCTAGTCTACAATACTTAGATCCACATATATTAAGGAAATGTAACATAAAATGCACCTTTCAGAATTCCACCACCACCCCTCCAAAATCCCCTGTAAGAGCCCTGAACGGGAACTTGACTTTGAATGCCAACAGAGATGAAATGGTGTTATAATCAGCATAAGTGCATGTGGACTATTCACCTAGATCAAACACTTTGGTCATATACTCAATTAAATTTAAATCCCATTATATAATGTATACCAGCCTCATTTTATACAATTCCCTAATTTAATGGCTTGGTATTAGCCTTTTCCCTTTTTGTACACATGGACTAATTTTCACGGTGCTCAGTCCCTCTGGGAAGTAGGTCATTAGAGTCAACTGGATGGAGACAGAAACTTAATACTTTAACAGTACTGTAGAAGGGTCAGAAACAGAATAACAATGTAAAACTGTTTTTCACTCATCCTACTTTGTAATATTTATGAAATTTCTCCCTCATGTAAATATCATTCATTAATCTTGAGGATGACAAAGCACAAGAATAAAGAAAGCTATCACACTGTTACAATTTAATTTGTGAAACAAAAGAAACCCGCAACAAAACAAAAACACAATTAAAAAATTAAAAGTCACAATTATAACATTTAACTGCCAAGACTATAGTTGTTTTACACTGAAGCAGTAGAATCATAATATTCATATTACCTTTCTCAATGTGTATTCTTTTTGTCTCATGTCCCACATCATGACCAGCCAGATCACCTTCCTTAGGTCCAGGCAGGACATTAGGTGACAAACCCATCAGCATTTGGTTCATAGATAGCCCGTTCTGATGGACAGCTGCTAGACACAAGTGCAGGCAGAAAGAAATCAGCTGTCATATTAACACTGTTTCACTTATTTTCTATAGTCTTCCTCTTATACAAGAATTCTAACAATCACCAAGTTATTTAATTAATGCTACCAGGATCCACATAGCGGGAGTTTCTTCCTGTTACTTCTGGTGCTCATCAGACAGCTTGAAAAGCTCTTTCCAAGAGTTCTCAAAGAGCCCTTCAGGAGTTTTAAACACACCTCAGAAACTCATATTAGGTAGTTTATAAAGCCATGCTTTTATCCTAAAAAACTGTACTTCCAAGAGGTTTAAGACATTTTTTAAAGTACTTTTTCATATGTAACTCATATTTCTGTAGTAGTTATTTTATTCTGTCTGGTACCACAAAAAGCAAATGTACCTAAGAAAAAGGTGTAATGTTAACAAATGAGATAGGACAGAAAAGACTTATAAATAAATAAGTTACTAAAGGGATCCACCACTTAAGGAACTCTGTAATGTCCATATGGAAGAAAAAAATGTGTAAAGGTCTCAATCCTCTCTGTTGGTAATTAATAGAATAAGCTGAACAGTAAAAAAAAAAGTCACTCCTTAGCAAAAATAAAAAGTATTTCTCAATTTAGTTTCATCTAATTTTTTTTTTAAGACAACAATGGAAAAGGTCTCCATTGGTTGTAAAAAAATATATACTCTTCAATCAATTAAAAACAAATTAAAAATCCACAGTTATGAAGTTTTTTCAGAACTTTTCTTCTGAAATCTGCAGTGTGTTGATGGACACCAGGTGACCACCAAAGCCACTTCATCAATACCCCTCCTAAACTGGACAATGGAGAGAAAATATAATGAAAGGATGGTGGATTGAGCCTGGGGAAATAGATAGGTCACAGTATATGGGATGCCAATTTAATCTGCACTCTGAATTGTTGAAGGATAAGAAAACAGAATTTTCAACTTGTCATGGTCAGGCCTCATTTCTTTTCTTTGGTAAGTCATTTTTCATCACATACTAATGAAAGATCTTTCATCTGAAGGTCAATGAAGAGTCAGCTTCCTGAGTCTGCAGAGAGCCTGAAAAGAAGCAGGCTAAAAGACACGTGTTGCATCTAATCAATACGACTACTTCTTTCATACAGCTATTTCATGGCCTTCTATGTGCACGCCAAATCCTCCAGTTTCACCTATTGACAAATTCTACTGTAGAAAGATGACTTAAAAGCACAAAACCTTGCAACAGAGCAATAATAAAGAGAATGGACAAGTGTGATATGAATTTAATTACATATCCATAAAATAGTGTGTGTTTAAAACCTTAATTTCCACTGCTGTAGTGGAATATCATAGAATTCAGGGTCTTTGCCAGGTAATTTACTTCCTGTACATGGAACCTTGATAAAAATGGTATCACTCTGGGACACCACAGTTTAATTTTACTCTGCCCCTTGTGAGCTATGAGGTGATAATTCTTTATCACATTTCTCACCACTACAAAATTTTATATTTAAAAAATTTATAAAGTATGCACATTTTTAATTGATTTAACCCGATTCTTCTCTTTACCAAGCAATTCTACCACGTAAAATATTGCTTATGAAGTCAGATTCAATTTAGAAATCAAACCAGAGTAACCAGATTAAATAAAACTCAATTTCTTTAAAAAATGTTTATACTATATGTTCAGTTCTAAAACTAATCTAGCAAATTGCTTCCCGGCTGCAATTCCATATTTCATTGCTCATATCTTTATGTTTAATATGACATGATGGCAGTTTATATCAGTACCCGTTAATGTAGCATCGGATATTATGATACTGTAAAATGGGAAACATAATGTTGGGAGATAGTTATTTCTGCTGAACTTCTGAACATGACACATATGAGATCTATTTAAGACGAGGGCATTTTGATTAGAAAAACCAGCTGCACCTAATCAAATTTGAAGTGGTGAGAAGGAGAAGAATGTGACCTACGGATTCTGTCTGAAGAGCTCTCGGTCCGCGCAGGAGAGCTGGACACGCTGCTGCTTCGATGAGAGGATGGATGGCTGCCAGGTCTTCGGCCCTCCTCAAGAGAAGGAGCAGGAGAAGGGCTGTCTGGAACACGTTCCTAGATCACACGAAAAGTAATTGAGAAAAAAGGCAATGTTACACCAAGCCTCTGTAACACCAATGTTACACCTTCCCTAAACTGAATCTCCCTCCTAATTTACAACCTACTCTTTCACCTGTTGAGATGTCTGGGATTTGCAGAGCATTCTCTAAGGAAACTTGCAACTTTAAGGACACTAGGTCTTACATTTTAGTATGCAATGTGAGCACTGCTCATTTTATTAGGCTTTTAAACTGCCTTCTGGACTACTTATAAAAATAAGCGGTCTGTTTTGCTTTACTTTTTTGTTTTTATTTTTCTCACTCCTAACGTCATGCTGTTGAATTGGAAATACACAATTTGGCTTACAGATTTCAGCCTTGTGGGATGAGGATCCATGTATTTCTGTAAATAAATAATGATCAGGTACTACTGTTTTATCTCATGCTGACTTTTACTCCACATTTTAATTTCAAAGGGGCTTCTTGAGCAATGAGATCTTATGGAACTGTTATGGATCACAAAGAAAATATAATCTCCTTATAGAACCTATACCAGTAACATGGCTGATGTAAGTCCAAATGTCTGTTTTTACCTTGGAGCACAAATCTGGAATGAATCACACTTTTTGAATGAATGTGGCCATATCACTCACCATATCACTACTTCAAAATGCGGAAAACCACCCATTCATGCTTTTCTGCCCAGGGAAAGGCCTGGCATGGTAGCTAAGAGGAGCTATGACACACTTCAAGATGTTCTTTGGTTTTGAAAACTAGAGATTGAGGATTGTGATTGTTAGAACTGCACATCTGCTATGTGAGAATTGCTAGTATGTAGCATATAGCTATATCTGATATTTAAACAGAATTTCAATGGAAACAATAATCAAACGGAGCTGAGTGCAGAATAGTCCTTTCTAGAAAATTCTCTACCTTTCCCTGCAGTTTCCTTTTTATTGTTAATAGCTTCCAAGACTCATTGCTCAAATATGCATGAGTTAGGCTGTTTTGGTCAAATAGTGATAAAAATAAATAGATCCTAAAAGGGAAATCTATTGGAGGGGATGGAAATGTTAAAACTAGTATTTTTTTGGTTGTTGGTTTTTTCCCTTCTGATAATTGAAATCCTGACTTATAATTAAAAAAAAAAATGAAGCCAAACAACCAACCAACAAACTGCATACATTCAACTCACAAAAACTTTTCGGTAATGAAATAATAAAACTAGTATATGTTTAATAACATAGGAAAACTTGTTGCTGCAAATGCCTACAAATTTTTTTGGAAAGAACAGTGCAGCACAGCAAACTGCTTTTGCAGCAGTCATTATTTTATCATGCACAGTCGCTAAATTAATATTTATTTATCTGAATGCATTCCTAAGAAACTTTGCAACATGCACATCTATAGTAATCAATAGATTTGTTCCAGGCAAGCTTCATAAAAACTATTTGCTGAATTTGAGATTCTGATTGCAAAGGGATTCAATGGGCCTACTGATGGAGTAGGAGGAGACTTTTTAGAGCAATATTTCAAGACATTTAAGTGGATTCCACTTTAATAGTCTTAGGTTTTTAAGTCAAAAACATTGATGAGGATAGCTTAACTGCATCATAGCTCTAGGCTTATTATGACTTTGATTGTGTTTATATGTCCACGAACTGGGTATTCAAGAGGAGGATTATAATGCAGATGTTTTCAGAACATAGAAGATTTACTTCTTTAGATTTAGGAGGATTTAAGCATGCACAGCATACAGATTTGATATAAATTGGAACACGGTATATTTAATCATTCATTTAATATATGATTTCACTGTTCGGCATACAATGTATTGTTCTTAGAATGGTTTCATTAAAATGAGATCCAGTGAGCACATAAGATTTGAATATAGAGCTGCAGAGTAAATTAATTTATTTAAACAGCTTAATTTGTTTATCCTATTTATTTATGTGTGCTTTTACAGAATGTATTATGAGATGGAGCGAGCAAAAGGAATGCACGGAACACCAAAATATAATTACTGAACAAACAAAACAGATGAGTTTTATTCTCATATAATACGAAATAGACAAACCCAATGAGTAAACTATATATACAGGGTTTATCAATTAATTTGTAAAATATCCTTTAATTCCAATAAAACATGGGACTGAACTATGCAGAAATGTAAAATAAATCAATTTAGCAACTTAACTAATGTTTTATATCCTTGTTTCATAGTTCCACAATCAGCAATATAGTCTACAGCAATTTTTTGTCTTTACCAAACTATCTGCTACATATAAATGGAAATGCTACAAAGAATAAACTGAAATACTCTGTATCTCTAAAACATCATAGCGATAAACTAATGGCACTTTAATATCAATATACCTTGTCCTTCTTACCAGAGATTTTGTGTAGAAAAGATGAATCCGGTTTGCGGTATAATATTAATTTTACATTTAGACTTCACTTTAAAATTTTTCAGAAACGGAAATGTGCAAAAATGTGTTCACTAAATAATGCAGATCAGAGCTATTTTGTCACTTCTGCAACATGCCACTTTTGTACAAGTAACTCTGCATGACACCGCAAAGAAATAGAATTTACTGCCTTATAATCCCGGTCACAGAAATCACCTAGAATTCTGTCTGCTGCCTAGTATTTTTACTAAACTTGCCTACTCCCAGGAGCAGATATTTCTAGAGAATATGTTGTTCATTTGTACTGTAATTAGGCTTGTTGTCTCCCAACAAATAATCAAATAAATAAATAAAATTTGTGTGACTTTGCTAAAATGAAGCATGAGAAGGAAACTGTGCAGGGTTCAGTTTGAAATCAGCATAGTGCTAAAAATGCCAAGATGGTGGGTTCAATCCCCATATGGGCCATTCACTGAAGAGCTGGACTTGGTGATCCTTGTGGGTCCCTTCCAACCCAGAGTATTCTGTGATTCTGATTCTGCAATCTGAATCTAAGTATCTAAATGCAGTTTTGACGTACAAGTGAGAGATGACATTTCAGAGACACTTGTATGTAGGATTCTCTGCAAAGAGGCCCACCTCAAAGGTAAGTTGTCTTCCATTTCAGTCAATTGAGATATAGACCATAAAGTCAATGGAGCCTCCTCCAAAACCAGATACCTACAGCTCAGTTCAGCTGCTCACATTTGAGCCATTTGTGGCACCAAGGGGTTTTGAGATGTCCCCATCAGGCTGATAAAACAGGACCTCCACTGCCTTCTGCAGTGTCAGTAGGATGCCAAAAATACTACCCCTGCACCTCCTGGCTGATGACCTGAATAGCTTTCAAAATTCTATTGACAATATTTACTAGAAAACAAGAATTATTTATAGTTTGTGAAACATAACCCTCTCTCACTACTTTTTTTCTCTATTTTTTGCTTTCCTATTTCTTCCTACAGATACTCACAAATAAAAAGTAGTGTGAACAATTTAGGTAATATGTAGCGATTTAGCATATGGCTGACCAACATTTCAGAATTATTGAGACTCTCAATTAGGTATCAGAACAGGAGGCTATACTAAGCAATGGGTAACAAACTCTTAAAGGCCAAATTTGAAAGATACCTTAGCTTGGTACTCTTTAGAATTTGATCCAAATCATGAATCCTAAGCATTTAAGGATCTGACATTTACCTTCTCCAAAACTGCTCCTGCCATATAAGAAATGGTCACTCTAAGGAATTGTAATGCTCTTTCTCATGCTCTTTACAAGTTACACACCTTCAGTATCAATTCCATTTCATAAATAACAGACTTGTTCCTGTGACACTGGGTATTTTTTTTTATGCTGTAAAAAACAGGTAAAAAATTCTAACTGTCAGAAATTTTAACTTATGAGATTGACTTAGAAACCACTCCAATTTTATTCCAGAATATCACATATTTACAACATCACACTGTCCTGGTCTCTCCAAGTAAAACAGAAGTGTCTTGATGGATTTAACAACATTTTTCTACATTTCTCAAACAGGTAAATACTGTAAAATCTCATTCCAAAAGTCCATTTCAAGTAACTTCTTTTTACAAATTATCTTAATGTATCAGTAATGGAATCCAGGAGATAAATACTTTCTTCCCTATATCATATATCTTTTTTCTTCTTGCCAGGTCACAAAGGTAGTTATTCAATATTAATCTCTATTTTTGCCTATTTTATTTCTGCTCCAGCAGCACGTTTCACTGTTTGAGAATTGTCTCATTACCAAAAGTCTTCCTCAAAATATACCAAAGCACAAAGTTGATAGAGTTTAGCTGTTGGTCCCTATATCAATATGGAAGAGAAGACATTTCAGATAACATAGGTAGGAATAATCCTTCTGCTCCTAAGAGGCCAGAAAAGGAAGTGATATCTTCTAGTTTGTCACCACCTCAGTCTTTCCACAAACATTCTTTATTCTTTGCCATTCCTGTTCCTTAGTGACAAAATTCTTGAATCTTTCTGACAATGTTTGAATATGCCTTCTTCCAACAACCAACTGGTTTTGCACGTACAGCCTTCACCTCCTGCATATTTCTCTCCTACAGGTATTCAGTCTCAGCTTTTTCCTTTGTTCTAGTCTACTTCTACACAAGACTCATGTCTTGGGTTTAGTCATGCTTTAATTTTAGTCATGGACTGAGCTCTAGACATGCAGATAAGTCTTATATGTTAGAGGTATATAAGTTTTTTAAACTATTTAGTTGTCTTGATGCTCTTCAGTGTTGAACTAATTCCTTTAAGGATGTTTATGCTGTAAGTCATTGAAGTGCAGAGAATAAAATAACTTATTTCCAGAGTCATACTTTTCAATACTTTCGGTAACTTATGGAATGGTTTGGGTTGGAAGAGACTTTTAGAGGTCATCTAGGCCCAACTCCACTGCCATAGGCAGGGGCACTGTCCACTAGACCAGATTGCTCAGAGCCCCATCCAGCCTGGCTTTGAACACTTCCAGGGATGGAGCATCCACAGTGTCCTTGGGCAATCTAACTTCATGGTGGGGGGAAAGTATATATGACAGAAACT